AAGTCCATGCTACCTTTGTTGGCATTCAGAATTCAAAGGCAGGACTCACGTTTTTTGCAAAGAATGGCGGCTTTATTTTAGATCAGGGTAGCTGGGAATGGGTGGACTGGTATGTGCCCAGTGACCTGGAAAATGTGAAAGAGTGAAGGAGCACCCTCTTTGTAATGCGGTTGGAAGAAGAAAGTTTTCTTATTTCTAGGTTGCTAATCACTTACGTGACACCTGCCCCCCAAACTAATCCTATTGATGAAGGATCTTCTGAGCAGTAAACCTGTGCTTAATTACCCTTATGCACACGAGCTTAACTGCTTCCCAGTAGATGTCCAGAAGCACTTAGGGATTCCTTCCCTCAGACAACTTAGAACCCACTCATCTAGACAACACGAGCATCTGTAATGCACTGGGCCTTGTGTTGGAGGTGACAAGCAAGAGCAAGATGTGGCCCCTGTTGCAGGAGTACTTACAGTCCTATGGGAAATAGACAGGCAGCCAAGAGTAACTCAGGGAAGTGAACACCCTGTTAGCCTCAGGAACCAAGTGCCATGGAAACACAGCCATTAGTCCCAGGGATCCAGGGGTCTTCCAGCTGTGTGTGTGTGTGTGTGTGTGTGTGTGTGTACATATATAATGTTTTTATTGATTTCAGAGAGAGGAAGGGAGAGGGAGACAGAGAAACATCAAAGATGAGAATAATTGATCAGCTGCCTCCTGCATGCCCCCTACTGGGGGTTGAGCCCACAACCCTGGGCATGTGCCCTGTCTCGGAATCCAACCGCTATCTCCTGGTTCATGGGTCAATGCTCAACCACTGAACCACATCAGCTGGGCTTCCAGGTGTCTTTTGAGCAACCTCCTGGTTTCTCCCAGGGGAGTGAAAAATCCAGCAACCAGCTGCTGTCTCCACCAGCTCCTTTAGCTTCGCTCAGTTTCTCACCCAGGATTTGCTGGGACAGGTGATGACAGAGACCACCTGTCCCACAGGCCTCCCTGTGAGGAGACCGCAGTTTCTCTGCTGAAAAAGGGGGCGAGAGGTGGAAGGAGCTTGGTTTACCTGGTGCTTTACCCTTAGACCTCGGACTCCAGAGCCAGATTTCCTGTGGGCAGAGCCAGGGGTCGGGATGAGGAACCAAACCCAGCAAGAACAGCCGGGAGGACATCCTGTGTCCCCCAGCCCGCTCCCAGTTCCCCAAGCCCCTACATTTTCCTCCGTAGGACAAGGCGCCTTAGTCTGGGGCCTTCGGACACTGGATGTAATGCCTAAAATGTGTCGCAAGGTGGCAACATTGTGGCGAGAAATAGACAAAAAAATCCTGGGGTTTTTTTTCCAAAGCATATTTTCCCTATTAATGTTTCATTTAACTTAATTAGAATCTGGTAAACTAATTAAAGTAGCTACGAGCCCCGCAATCAGCAATAATTCGTATAATTATTGATAATTACATCCATACCGATCGTTTGGTTATTAACATTTGGGGGGGAAAACAAACCACTTCTGAAGGGACACGGAGCCCAGGAGGGTTTTTGCGACGGAGCTTTCTGGGTCGGATCCGCCTACACCTCCAATCCTCAGAGATTCCGGCCCAGATGGGGCGCCCTTTCCGTCAGGCCCGAGCTGCCTACAGTTTTCCCGGCTCCTCGTGTGGGCCGCAGCCGCTAAACTTCCTGCCCAGGTAGACACTGTTTCCCCCTTTTTACCGAGGAAAGTGCGGCTTCCAGAGGTGCGGTTACGCCGCGGGGGGAAGGCGCGCACCGTC